GGTTCTTTCCAGGTTAACTGAATGTCAAGAGCCAGGAATGACATTTAAAAGGGTCAATACGATTTCAAGATGACACTTCTCCCTGAGTGAGAGCTTCCCGCCTGTCGGCCAAGAAGAAGCCAAAGGTTGAATTCGTGTTACTCAGGCCAGTTGGCTCCTGTTGATTTATTTAATCGAATTGACTAAATGTTGTGGGGATGCTAGCATCTTGGGGCTGAGCCTGAGCGGTGCCAGGAGCATGGAACTTCCCAATATTTCACTAAGTATTGTGGGTGTCCAGCACCTGTCAGGGTCAGGCCCATTATGGACCGTTTGCCAGCATTAATACTAAAGTGTGTGGAATTCTTCTGTGATTGAGTAAATGCAAAATTCTCTCTAGGTGAATGTCTCCTCCTACCTCTATAACTTCCTTGCTCCTTCCCTGTGGTTTCTTCCAGATGATGATCACTGGGTGGTCGACACAGATTATGACACTTATGCACTTCATTACTCCTGCCGCCAACTAAATGACGATGGCACCTGTGCTGATAGTTACTCCTTTGTGTTCTCCCGGGACCCGAAGGGATTGTCACCTGAGGTACAGAGAATTATCAGGCAAAGGCAGGTCGACCTCTGCTTGGACAGAAAATACAGAGTTATTGTCCATAATGGTAAGAATATTTTTTTCAGAAAATTGTATTTGGGAGGTGAAATGACTACTGTACTAGGAAGCTCTTTCTCTAGTGGACAGGGCTGCACTTAGTAGCTGTGATATGATCTTATTTGCTTATTGCAAACTCAGTCTCAGATATGCCATTTTCACTTTTACTGCCCTGTGGTTTCCTGGGTAGCCCATCCCAGGAAACAAACACTGAAGAGAGTTGCAAAACACCTAGATTAATACGACGTGAAAGGGACAAAACCATCAGAGCTTCTGTAAAGGAAAATTATCTCTCTAATCTATTAGAATTATTTGGATGGCAACAAAATAGGAGATAGAGGAGAACTGTAGATATAATTTATTTAGACTTTTAAAAAGCCCCACAAGACACTGTTCAGGAAAGTCAATAGTCATGGGCTACAGCTGCACTCTGAGCCAGGGATGTGATTCCCAGCTTATGTAGATGTACTTTTGCTAGCTGTTTGTCTAAAAGATCTGCTCTAGTTCAAACAGAAATTAATTCAGGGAAGTCCTATGGCCTGTGTTATACAGGAGATCAGACTAGATGGTCAGAGTGGTCCCTTCTGGCTTTACAATTTCTGAATCTAATCTATGAATAGATGAACAAAGACTAATATAAATAGTTAATTTTCAGCCTGGCAATATGTTGACATTGGGGTACCACAAAGACCTACTAGAACAGGTGATACTGAATATATTTATTAATGATCTGGAGAAGGTGGGTGAACAGAATGAAAATAAATGTTGTCTATAATGAAAATGTGCAAACCGTACAAAATTATTTAGAATAGACTGGACAGCACAACTGCAAATGAAATTCGCTTTTGATACAAGGCAATAAATATCTGCACAAATAATTTTAACTACTCATACATATTGTTGAGTTCTGAATTAACTGTAACCACTCAGGGAAAAGATCTGGGTGTCACTGTGGACAGCTCAGTGAAAACATGTGCTCAATCTACAGCAGGAATCAAAAAGCACATAAAATGTTTGGCTGCCTAAAGAATAGGGCAGAAAAAATACAGAAAATAGTATAATGCCACTGTATATATTGATGGTATTTTCTCACTGTGAATACACTGTGAATACAGTGTTTGGTTCTGTTCACCCCACCTCAAATAAAATATAACAGAAATAGAGGGGCCAAAAGATGGGAAATTAAAATGATTAGAGGCATGGAGAGTCCTGTGTATGAAGAAAGAATGTAAAATGGAGCCCAGCGTTTGTGCTCCAGCTCCAGTTTAGGAAGAGGTGTGCAAAAGTGGCTTTTTGCACATTGCTCTGAACCAATTGGTACTGACCACCATGAGAGACAGGATAGTGGACTAGATGGACCATTGGTCTGATCCACTATGGCCATCCTGTGTTTCTATTAAATGTACATGAAAGTATATGAAATGTTTGCACACTAGTAAATCAATTGTGAATGTTTGCAAGAAGTTACAAGTTGTAAAGAAAATGTATACGTTCATAAATATTCACCGCTTGTGACAAGACATCTACAAACATCTCAGGAGAATCTCCACATAAAAGAGTACTTGTTTTCCACAAAATATTTGCAATTGTCTTTAACATCGTTTTTTAAAGCACAGTTAAAGTTGCAAAAACACCCTCTATACTAAAGATATCATTAATAGAACATTAAATGATAAAATTTAAATACAAAAGTTAGGAACTTGTCTTCTAATAGTACAGCATCAGCCTTAACTCTGCCCCAGTACTAACTGCCTTCCCCTTGTAAAAGCTGAAGATCCCCCGCTTTTCACACAAACCTTAACTCTGCCCCACTGTGTTGCATGTTTTCCTCTTTGCCTGCTCTTTCAGATGGTGGGTAGTGGTTGGAGGTGTCTACCAGGGCTAATTTGGCTTCCATGCTCTTTGTGAATGAGAACTGATGTTTTGGATCCTCTCAGGCTGCTCTATTTTATGCTAGAGACCACAGTGGTGGCTAGATGACCCCAGCATCAAGTGTCATGGCAACCTAAAGCCAATTGTGCACCTCCTCCGCTAGTCAGGCGTGCCAATCACAATTCAGACAAAAGCTCCGGATCATTTACCAGAGCATTAATTGATCCTGAACTCCCTAGTATTGTTGAGCCAAATTCTTGCACACCAAACAGATACACATTGGAGCAATGGACAGTGATTGTGGATATTTGTACAAGAGCTAAAAGAAAAAGAAAAAAGATTATCAAAACATCTGCATTAGGAAATTCTTCATACAAAGTCCATGTAAATGCAATTTCTCTGTGAACAGAGACCTCCCTGCATCTCATAGTTTTGCTAGCAAGAACTACAGAATTATTCGCAAGAGGGCCAAATCCTCATGTCCTTACTCTGTTGGCCTTACTGAGGTAAAACTCCCACTGAAGGGAACATAAGAATGGCCATACTGGGTCAGACCAGAGGTCCATCTAGCCCAGTATCCTGTCTTCTGGAAGTGGCCAATGCCAGGTGCCCCAGAGGGAATGGACAGAACAGGTAATCATCAAGTGATCCAGGCTCTTTCAGTTTTGATTCTAGACCCATATCTTCAAGTTAAATACTTTTTCCAAAGATTCTTCATTGCCTTTTTAAACTAAAACTGTGCTGAAGTGCACAATAAATAAATTACTAATTACACAGGTCTTGGCTTGATATAAATATAGTTATATCTAAATAGCAGTTCTTGGTAAACTATCTTTATTTTCAAGCAAAAGAAGCTATAGAGAAAAGGCTGTTGGTGTTTTTTGCCACTTATCTTGCATTTCTGAAGCTAAATCTCCTACTGATTGTGGGTCAGGTTGGGCCTTGAGGTCAATGGCCTGCTTGTGGACTAAGCTTTTTCCTAATGTGGGTAAGAGTATCACAGTTTCGCCCTCTGTGAGTATTCCCAATGACAATAAAACTATCACAAATAGTTATATTGAACACAGGACTGCTTGCAGAGCAAGCTATTATGTCATTGTAACCAGGGCATTGCATCCTGGCCTTGTATCAGCATATACTAAAAACAAAAATCACAAGAAAATAAATGTATGTACATTAGGATAGTCTATTACTGCCATTTTTTGTGATCTTAAATCTTAAATGAAAAGTACGGTATATCTTACTTAAATAAATATATTTTGAAATGGTTCTTGTGGTTGATCTGTGCTAGCTCCTTCTTTGCCTCAGCATTAATGTCTGGAACAAATGGAACAGATCTGATTAATTCCTGTTCTATGTTGAGTTGAAAATCCTTTGGAATTATGTGCTACAGATCTAAAGAGCAGAATAACATTGCAAATAATAGACTGATATGTGTAAGACTACTTTAAAGGAAATACATTTACACACACTTTAAATTTTATACATTTTTGTATATTTTTTATCTTTCTAGTGCTGGTTTAGAAATATTATTAATTTTATTTTGTTTGTTTCAGGATTCTGCTCTTAAGGAGTTTTGAAGCTATGGAAGCAAATCACGTAACATCAATATGGATGTAAAGTTTACAAATTGACTGTTTTGTTGTAGACCTTTAAAGCAGCTTCATTTAAACTTAAAATATATTTATCTGAGCTCTGTAGCTCACCCTGTCAATAAACCAATGAAACTTTTAATAAACACGGATAACAGGGAATGCATATTGTGTAAATATAAAAAGATGATTGTTTTATTGGCAAAATATTATTTTACTGCAATGCTTAGAAATAGGAATCCAGATGGCAGTACTTAAGTATGTAATCTTTCATTTTTTTCTTATTGGTTTTTGACTTTGTCTAGTAACCTTGCAGGCAAATATTTTTAAAAATCCCTAATATCTAATTTTAAAATGCCTTAAGTCCTCTTGACTTATTGTGGCTTCTTTATTGGTCTCACTGGAAAGCAAAATAATATTTAAATACAAAACATAAGAACATAAGAACGGCCGTACCGGGTCAGACCAAAGGTCCATCTAGCCCAGTATCCTGTCTACCGACAGTGGCCAATGCCAGGTGCCCCAGAGGGAGTGGACCAACAGGCAATGATCAAGTGATCTCTCTCCTGCCATCCATCTCCATCCTCTGACAAACAGAGGCTAGGGACACCATTCCTTACCCATCCTGGCTAATAGCCATTAATGGACTTCACCACCATGAATTTACCCAGTTCTCTTTTAAACGCTGTTATAGTCCTAGCCTTCACAACCTCCTCAGGTAAGGAGTTCCACAAGTTGACTGTGCGCTGCATGAAGAAGAACTTCCTTGTATTTGTTTTAAACCTGCTGCCTATTAATTTCATTTGGTGACCCCTAGTTCTTGTATTATGGGAATAAGTAAATAACTTTTCCTTATCCACTTTCTCCACATCACTCATGATTTTATATACCTCTATCATATCCCCCCTTAGTCTCCTCTGTTCCAAGCTGAAGAGTCCTAGCATCTTTAATCTCTCCTCATATGGAAGTTCATTGATCACATCACAGAATAGCTTTATTTTATTACATTCATTCTTGACTCAAGATGTGTAAAAATGCACCATTTGTAATGACCCTGTTTTTACACTCTTAAGAAAAATAAACATTTCTATCTACTGTAACATTGCTGAATCCAGCAAAATGGTGCCAGAGATTGACTATTTCTAAGGACCAAATTTTCAAACGTAGGACATACCAGCAAAAATGATCATGCGCTCATTGAACCAGCAAAAACCACATCTGCCTATTCAGATTGGCATGTTATGCATAAAGGTAGTTTGCACAAAAGTATGTTCAGGCAGCCAGTCACCTGATTTATGCATGAAATGCCTTTTTTTATTTTATGGGCTTAGTGACTGCATGGAAATTTTTGAGGGTGCACTTTTTACACCTATTAAAAGTTGGTTTCTATTCTTACTGGCAAATGGATAGTAAAACTGGGGCATATCCTCAGCTGCTATAAATTTTCATGGTTCCACTATAGTCAGTGGACAATTTACACGATCTGAAAATCTGCCCCCATAGAGCCCAATTCTTCTCCAAAGTTACACTGTTTTACATTACTGTGCCTCCGCCAATGTCAGTGAAGTTACTCCTGATTACATCATTGTGAGAAGAGAATTAGGCTGATAGGGTTAAATTCTGCAGTCTTACTCAGACAAAACTCCCAAGATAATAGAATTTTGCCTGGGTTAGGATTGTAGAAGTTGAACTATAGATATAATTATTTTCCTATCTGCTTTCTTTAGCATATAATACTATAAAATGGTGAGCTGGTCAGTGTGGGAAAGTGTATGGTTTAGCAGCCAAAGCAACAGTTGAAACATAGTTCATACATTACTTATTTGTAAATTACAGATAAGTTAGATTCTCTGTGGTCATTTCTTCTTCCTGTGGTTTCTGTATTAGTCATTCTCCGTCCAGGAAGAGCTGCACAACACAAAAGAAATTGCCGCCATTCGTGTCTGAAATGGGTAACATTATACAAAACTGGATTGACGGCAGAGTTGGCAAAAGTGAATGCCATTATCCAGAAGAAAAATGATGGCAAAATATTCAAATCATGTTTGAAGTTCTGAACTAAAATTAAGAGAATAGTGATGACAATTGGACTCCACATGATGAAGAAAGAGATCATCAGCACAAACAAAGTTCGAAATAGCTTGTAATCTTGTTGGGAGACTCGGATCTGATGAATTTCTGAGTAGGCTAAACTGACATTTAATCTTCTTCTTGATGCTTTTGTAATCTGCATTCAAAAACAAAATAACTTTTATTAGAGAATTCTTGCTGAGTAGCTTTTTTTTAAAGCTGCAGAAGTGAATCTTGGCAAATCATGTTTCTGCTCTGGAAGTGACTATAAAAAGGGCAAGAGTTCTGTATTTATTGCCTCTCAATGAGTACATTGCCAATGTGCTGAGTTAACTAGTAGAAAAATGGTTTGTTTTTTTTCTAACTGCCAGCCCTGAAACTCTGGTAGTCAAGCTGGGTTCTTTCCTTCTCGTGCTCATCACCCATTTTGCATTTGCTCATCACCCATTTTGCATTAAAGTCAAATTAGGCCTTTCATTACTCTTGAAATCCCATTGCCTTCAAATGATAATCTAGTTTATTTCATCTGTGTAAATCTGTTGATTTTTACACAGGGGTAATTGACTGTGACTGGAGTATAGCTAACAATCCTGTTGATGCACAAAGAAGAGAATCCAGCTCACTCTTTTATAGACATTTTGGCTCTGCAGGTAAATAGGAGTAAAAAGTAGTAACAACTTAATTTAGTCACTAAAGTCAGCAAATATGACTGGTACATAAACGAAGCAGAACTGTTGAGTAAGCAGGTGCCATTTTTGCGTACTAATTTTCAGAGTAGAGCTGCACTAAAATTCTATTACAGATAGTTAGAGATGGGCTCAAGACTCAAAATCTAGATCCGGATTTTGACACCTGAAAAACGTATGTAGGTGTTTGAGACCAGAATGTTGGTTCTGCCCATTGTAAGGATGGACCATTTGCAGAATTTGGATCTGGGTTCAGATTTTCCCACCTCCAATGTCTGAGTGTGCCTGGGTCCAGGGGTTGGCTCAGACTTTTCTCTGTGTAGGGGTTTTCAGTGGTATGGGACACTGGTTAAAGCAGAGATGTCTTTCAAATGCAGAATATTTTTTCCACAAAATTTCTGTTTGTCTCTCAGACCTCCCAGATGCATACTACTTCCATTAGGTGATAGGTTTTAAACTTGAGTGAGAATGTATTTAAAATTCAGTGTATTGTCTTTGACATCTTGGTTTATCAGCCACTGATCAGAATTACTTTGTCGACAACAGCCCTGACACCTTGTGCATCCTGTAGTCTTTATGAAAGTCTTTACTTTTTCTGTAAACGTAATAAGCAAAATTGAGGCACATAGGCCCTGATCCAGATTTATTTCAATAAACAATTCAATTGGTTTTAGTAGGAGCTAGGCACTTAAGCATGTTTCAGGAGCTGGGCTGTGGGCTCTAATGTTCCAGAGTGCTAAGACTCCCCAGCTCCCATTGTCTTCCATTGGAATTGTGAGTGCTTAGTGCTTGTGGAAAATCCATTCTCGGGGAAGTCAACACAGCAAAATTAAAATGTGTCCATTATTTAAAGTTTCTATTTGTAGATCCAATAAAACTAACCCCCCACCTCCAAAATTCAGCTGACAAACACTTCAGCTAAATACTTTCTCCCATTAGGCCAGATCCTCAGCTGGTGTAAATCAGCTCCAGTGAAGTCAATGAAGCTATGCTGATTTGGCCTATTTATTTTTATTCCAGAAGTTGCAATTTGACTCATTCAGTGTAATACTTCGTTAATATTGCTTCTCTAGCTTAATCACTCTCTACATGCACATTATTTTTATTGAACAAGCTGCATGAACTAGTGGATTGAAGGTGAGATTGGGAGCAGGAGCACTGCCACTGGTTTGGTATGTAGATTTAGGTGTCACTTCACTTCTCTGTGTCTCAGTTTTCCTGTCCATAAGATGTGGACAAGGGGAGAGATTTGCAAAAGCACAAATCACAGTTAGGTGCCTAACTAGGAGGCTTTGAAAATCAGTGAGAATAAGGAACCTAACTGCCTTTTGTGCCTTTGAACATTTCCCCCAATAAGAACAAGATTAATAATCACACTTGCCTTGCTCAGGTTAGAGTGAAAGTGGAAATAAACATTGAACTCAGGACAAGCTTTTCCCCTTATCAGTTATTCTCTGTGTAAAATTCAGTTAGTTTGCAGGGCTGACAGTGTCCTCAAAAATCATTTATCAACCTTGTTTGAAGTGTTGTTGTAGCAATATTGGTCCCAGCAGGGCCACCCTTAAGGAAAATGGTGCCCTGGTAGAACTTGTATTTTGTCACCCCTGGGCCTGCTGCCTCCCTGGGCTCCCCACCTATCCCCCATAGGCCCTGCTGCCTCCCCCGGCCTCCCACCCATTCCCCCTGGCTCCCACTGCCTCCCCACCCGCCACCCCCATTGCCCCTGGCTCCTGCTGCCTACCCCGGCCACTCTACCCATCCTCCCATTGCCCCTGGCCCCTGCTGCCTCCCCATCCATCCCCCTATTGCCCCAGGCTCCCGCTGCCTCCCCCCACCCCACCATTACCCTGAGCTCCCTTCTGCAGCCTCACACCCAAGGCCTGCCCTGCTCCTTGCCTCTTGACACCAGCGCCTTGCCCGCCAACCATGGCACCCTGGGTGGTCATCCACATCGCCCATCTGTAAGACCAGCCCTGCGTCCCAGAATATTAGCGAGATACGGTGGGCGAAGTGACCTGAAGAAGAGCTCTGTGTAGCTCAAAAGTTTTTCTCTTTCACCAGCAGAAGTTGGTCTAATAAAAGATATTACCTCACCCACCTTGTCTCTCGATTTATCAATCCTGTGTAATGTATGTATCTATTTTAGTCATCTGGACTATCTATAATCACTGGAGGTCTATTTCTCTGGGGTTTGTTAAGAATAAGATTTTGCAAACACATGATACCCTGTTTAAGAGATTATTGCTGCATACAGAGTTCTCAAATTCCTTGCTTTGGTGGGAAGATTTGAGACCAGTTTTAGACTCTGAGTTGGTGAAGGTCTTGTAGTTTGGGTCCTGCCTGACAGGAGAGTCGGGCAGTGTTGACAACTGGATTACAAACTGCTTTCTAATCTGCTATTTTGGCCAAGGCGCTTGAGAAGATGATAGCAATCAACTACCCAAACACTTGGAGAATACAGATGTAGATGATAAATTTCAGCCTGGACACAGCACTGAAATTACACTTGTCAAGCTAGCATTTGTTACCAGAGTGGACAAGGAGGCCTGATATTTGTGGTATCTGTAATATCTGTGGTATTGCTTCATTACCTGAGGATATGATTATAACTGTTTTGAACTGGTCCTAGTTGTGGTATTAGGGCCTGTGGCAGGATGCTGTGGCGCTCTTGTTATGCACAGACAATTGGAATTGGACACAGGATAAACCCAGAACTCTTGCAAGTAAACTCTTGAAGTAGTCTCATCTAGTATATACGTATTTCTTCTTAGTCACTGCTTGAATTACATAGGGTGATCCCCAGTTCAGTTTTGCTTGTCTCTTGGAGAGTTAGGTGAGAGATGTGGTTTGGTTGTGACTGTAGTGCAGATGATGCCCAGCTATCTATCCTACTTTCTCTAGGCTCTGGAGCAGGGGTCAGCAACCTCTGGCACGCGGCTCACCAGGGTAAGCACCCTGGCGGGCTGGGCCAGTTTGTTTACCTGCCACATCCGCAGGTTTGGCTGATCGCGGCTCCCACTGACCGCGGTTCACCGCTCCAGGCCAATGGTGGCGGCAGGAAGCCATGGCCAGCACATCCCTCTGCCCACGCCGTTTCCCGCAACCCCCATTGGCCTGGAGTGGCAAACCACGGCCAGTGGCAGCCGTGATCGGCAGAACCTGTGGACGCAGCAGGTAAACAAACTGGCCCGGCCCGCCAGGGTGCTTACCCTGATGAGCCACGTGCCAGAGGTTGTCGACCCCTGCTCTGGAGAGATATTATGTATCTCTGCACTTGTAATATAAAATCCCAAGATTGGATGGCTTAGGTTGAATTGTGGCAAGACTAAAATTATGTTGACTAGATCAGAAAGGAAATGTAAGAAGAGCCACATTTCTCCAGGCTTCCCAGTCTTTACTGGGGTGTTGCTTCAATGGGCAAGTGTAATCTGGTGTCTAGGCATAGCTCTTTCTCCGGGACTGATGTTATAAGGTCATATGAAAGCTGATCGGTCAGAGCTGTTTTTTATGATTTTAAGACTATCACGAGAGAACACCAGAGAAAGGCTGTATCTTAACCAATGGCTCTGAGCCTCTTTTGTGTCATCTGGGTTAGCCTATTACCATGTTCTATATCGTGAGCTGCCAAAATGGCTGGTCCGTTGCTAATATTGAATGCAGGTCTTGACCAAAATCAGGGATAGGCAGAGGGTATCCTGCATATCAGAATGTTAGGACCCATTAGGGCAGGGATAGATAATAAAACAGAAAATATAATGCCACTATATAAATCCATGGTACGCCCACACCTTGAATACTCATGCAGTTCTGGTTGCCCCATCTCAAAAAAGATATATTAGAATTGGAAAAGCTAAGGAGAAGGGCAGCAAAAATGATTAGGGGTATGGTACAGCTCCCATATGAGGAGAAAATAAAATGCCTGGGACTGGTAAGCTTAGAAAAGAGCTGACTAAGGGGGGATATGATAGATGTCTATAAAATCATAAATGGTCTGGAGAAAGTGAATAGGAGAAGTGTTATTTACCTCTTGACATAACAAAAGGACTAGGGGGTCACCCAGTGAAACTAATCGGCAGCAGTTTTAAAACTAACATAAGGAAGTACTTCACACAATGCACAGTCAACCTGTGGAACTTGTTGCCAGGGAATGGTGTGAAGGCCAAAAGTATAACTAGTTCAAAAAAGTATTAGATAAGTTCATGGAGGATAGGTCCATCAATGGCTATTAGCCAAGATGGTCAGGGATGCAACCCAATGCTCTGGGTGTCCCTAAGCCTCTGACTGCCAGAAGCCGGGACTGGACAACAGGGGATGGATCACTTGAAATTGTCCTGTTCTGTTCATTCCCTCTGAAGCATCTGGGCCACTGTCAGAGACAGGATACTGAGCTAGATGGACCATTTGTCTGACCCAATATGGCCATTATGTTCTTACCAGTACTTAATTTTTAATGAAAGAGGTGCCAGGGCTC